AACATTTTAGTTTTTATTATAAATATCTAACATATCTTTCAATACATTTTAACAATAGACATTTTTTAATATACAAATTATAATAGAACTTTATTTACAACATAATTATTTATCATTAAAATTATTGATATGTATTTTATATTTTAAGATAGTATTAGCATATAATTTAATAATATGAAAATATTAGTTTGTAAACCTTCCCACCATAATCTACTAAAATTCACTTTTCCACTTAATAAAATTTCTCTTTATATTTTTGTCAGCAAAAACGCAAGTTTGCGTTTTTGCGTTTTTTTTTCATTCCGCAACATTTCGTTGATTGGCAAAATTCTTGCGGAATCGCGTTTCATAAATCCTTCCGCCATTACGCATGGTTATCAATCAATGCCTAAGACCTGACTTTTCACTTTTTTGGAAGGGTATTTTCCATGTTATTTAGGTCTTACTACCACGCAGGTGGATATTTTTTACATATATTACCACTGAATATTTTTCTAATATAGAACAGTTATTCGTGATCTAATCTAGTGCATTTATGACGATGAACACAATGGAAAATTTATTGAAGATGTTGAATGCGTTGTGCGTTTTCTTTGACTTCTTTACCTTTTTTTTGCCACGGTGACTTTTTTACCTTATTGATAATGACGATTGTCTATGAATTATTTTATGTATTACAATTATTGGGTACAAGGGTTGAATTAATATGACAAATCCCATCGATAGCATTAATTTTATTTTTATGAAAAAATCCTCAAAAGAGTATTTACTAAAAAGAGAAAAGAAAAAATAAATAATTCTAAGCTTAAATTATAGTCCCACACCAAAAATAATAAACTCTAAATTATACTCACCAAGCATTGAATTCAAATGTAAAATACATATTTATTCTATAATTCTTATTTTTATATTGTAAAATTTAAAATTTAAAATATTTAAATATATTTAGTTAATCACTTAGTTATAAGTAGGATTATAGTTGTCATTTACTATTTAATGAATATTAATTTAAGGATTTTCTATTTATTTGCTATTTAAGATAAAATGTTATTTAGTGTTAATTACGTGAGGGTATTTCTCTAAACTTATATATATGCATATAGAACATAAGTAAAAGACATAACTTGTTTATATTTCTTTATCAATGTGTTGGTGGTCTAATGGTAGTTCACAAAGATTGACTCTTTATATGAAATGCTATTTTCTTAATTTGGAATTTTCAAAAGCTGATTTTGCGTCTGTGGGAGAACTTCCATATATAGTAAAAAAGAATGATAAACTATTTTTTACAGAGAGAATGTGAAAGCTCAGGTGACCACATGTTGTGTTAATTTGAGTGTAGGTGGATTTGAATTTTAAATGGAAAATTCTAAACCATTCACATCAATGGCTATAACAGAACAGAGAAGTTGGAATTTTAAAGGCATGACCGCTCGCCTGCTTTTATTTTTGGTTTAAATCCGTGTTTTTTTGGATCATAAGAGAAAAACCCTAATTGTCTTAATACTTTATACTGTTGTTATTGGTGATCTAATCTAATGCATTTATGACGATAAATAAAATGGAAAACTACTGAAGGTAAAACAGAACTCTATTTTCTTTTTTTTTGGAACATCTGCTTTAGTGATTTGTCAAAAAAAGAAAAAAAACATCTGCTTTGGTGCTATCTCTCAATACATTAATTCTTGTTTTGCATTTTGCCTTACGTGCTCCTAGTTAATGCGATCGTTATGAAGCAACGAAGCGAACCAAAATACCAAAAACCTATAAGACATTTGCATGTTACTCAATAAGGTACTCGTTTATATTTAGTGTCGAGCATGGAAATATAGCAACATAGAAATAATTAAGGATTTGGAGGGTAGCTTCCGTCTACGCGATGCAAGATGAGCTTCATCACCTTGTCAACTTCACAGCTTTGCGATCACTGAAGCAGGCAAGTGTTTTCTTGGAGGAAGCTTTAGATCCTCCCACCCATCCTCTTCTTCAACTCGCTTGAAGTACTGCTCTACCATGCTATCCTTCATCTCCTCCAGTCGCCTTGGCTCCCACTGTAATATAAGTACGGCGTTACATAAACAGAGAATTAATGAAATCACCACAAATCATAAAAGGAGAGCTTTGTTACACCTTTGGACTCCTATCTTTGTCTATCAATATTGCTCTACACCCCTGCACAAAGGAATTGTAATTATGACCTACAACTACAAACAATTGAATCCGGAAAACTGAAAAAAAACAAACCTCCACCAAATCTTTGCTTATTGCTCCCTTCATCACATGAGACACCATTCTATTCTCACGAATAAGACACTCTCCCACCCCTTGCAATCGTCCTTCTCTTATCTGAAATTTATACACACAATTCACAGTCAACTTATCTTTCCCATCATTGCATGCTTGTGATGCATCTTGGAAACGAACCGATCGAAGAGAGATTTTAAGACTTGCTGGTGAAGCTTTTTCCAATGCTCCAATGGCAGCTGAGATCCAATCATCTGCTTTATGTGTGGCCTCTATTTCCTAACTCAAAATCGTAACTCATAATCGTAACTCAAATCACCAGATCAACACAGAAGCGCAGATAGCTAGGCAAAAAAAAAAAAACAAAGATAGCTAGGCAAAAACTTACAAGTGCAGATATAATTTCTTCGACTGTTCTTCTGGAGAAGCACCTATCAATAACATCCAACCTGCATAAAGAGTAGTAAATAGACAGATAATTTCCATGGATCATGTAAGAATGAAAAATGACACCAATACATTGGTAGAAGTTTATAATACTTGTAATATTGTTAGTCATGATGAATAATATAATATATAAATTGTATTTGTACAAGTAAGAAGTAAACGAGATAGCACTTGCCTATGGAAAGCACTCTGATGTTTCGGATTTGGATGTTGAGTGTATGTATCGAGAATTGTTGAGGCAAAGGTAACTGGATCACTTGAACCAACTCCACAAAGATCTGCTTCTAAGGCAGCCAGCCTCTGTGGCATTGAGTAACCTTACTAAGTAACAATACTTATACAACCAAAGAGTAGCTATTGAAATAGGGTGAAAAGTGTTGTTGTTATTAACGTACGATGACTCGTATATATACAAGATTGACGAGCTAATGATAATGAAATACATGTGAGGATAATGACTAAGTTATAGTTATCCCTATCTCTAATCTATACATACTTATCTCTATACCCCCCCTCAAGTTGGAGGTGAAAGATCATGAACTTCCAACTTGGACAATAGATAACGAAATGTTGGAGAAGGCAACGGCTTGGTAAGAAGATCTGCTGGTTGCTCTTTGGTTGAGATATGCTCCATAGTGATCGACCTAGCCTCAACAGCATCGCGAACGGCATGACAATCAGACTCGACGTGTTTAGTACGCTCATGAAACACAGGATTCGAAGCATGTAAATGGCGGCTTTGCTGTCACAAAATAACTTCATCGGATTAACGTGCTTGAGATCAAACGAAACAAGAAGCCTCTTAATCCACTTGAGTTCTTTCAATGCATAGGACATAGAGCGATACTCAGCCTCGGCGGAAGACATAGAGACAGTGTCTTGTTTCTTAGTCTTCCATGATATAGGGGAAGAACCAAGAAGAACAATGTAGGCACTCAAGGATCGACGAGTGAGAGGACAAGCATTCCAATCAGAATCACAATAGGCTGTAACTGTAAGATCCGAGTCGGACCGAAGAAAGATACCTTGAGCTGGGCAACCTTTAAGATAGCGAACGGTTTGCAGAGCTGCATCCCAATGAACCTGGAGAGGTGCTTGCATAAATTGGGAGAGAATATGAACAGCGTAGCTAATATCCGGACGAGTAAAAGAAAGATAAATAAGTCTCCCCACGAGTCGGCGATAGGCCTCAGGTTGCGCGAAGAGAGGACAAACTTGTAGAGCAAGCTTATGATTGATAGCAATAGGAACGGACGAGGGTTTAGCACCAAGCAAACCGGCTTCAGCGATGATGTCCAAGGCATACTTACGTTGAGAAAGAAAAATGCCGTCGTGACTACGGGCCACCTCGATGCCCAAAAAATACTTAAGCTTGCCCAAGTCCTTCATATGGAAACACTCACTCAAGTAGGTCTTGAAACGCTGCATAACAGAGAGATCATTGCTGGTGATGATAAAATCATCGACGTATACGAGAATGTGTAGAGTCGTAGTACCCCGAACAAAAGAGAAGTGTGTATAGTCTGCCTTGCTCTGTTTGAAGCCATACTTCAGTAATGCCGTGCGAAGCTTGGAGAACCAGCAACGAGGAGACTGTTTGAGGCCATAAATTGATTTCCTGAGCTTGCAAACCTTAGTAGAATCGGGATGTTCAAAACCAGGAGGAAACTTCATATAGACTTCTTCGTCGAGATCACCATGTAAAAATGCGTTGTGAACGTCCATTTGATGGACGTCCCACTTCTTAGCAGCAGCAATCTGCAAAAGCATGCGAATAGTAGTAGGTTTGGCGACAGGAGCAAAGGTTTCTGTATAGTCAAGTCCCTCTTTTTGTCTGTTCCCGCAAGCAACGACCCGAGATTTATGGCGAACAATGTTGCCATTAGAGTCATATTTGTATTTGTAGACCCACTGACACGCAATTGGCTTCTTCCCAGGCGGTAGAGAAACGACGTCCCAAGTATGGAGATCCTCGAGAGCAGCGTACTCAGCAGACATAGATTCATTCCAGGCATCGGTAAGAGAAGCTTCTCTGTAGCTTCGCGGTTCAACATTAGAAGTTATGGCGGCAAGGAATGCCATATGTCCTGCAGAGAAGTTAGCTCGGGAGAGATAATCAGAGATGGGATATGGTGTACCTGAGACCGTAAGCGGAGAACCTGGAGAGGAAACCGATGTGTCGAGAGAGGGGGGTGATGTAGAGCGAGTAGCGTTGACAACATAGTCTTTAAGGAGAATAGAAGGTTTGGAGACACAGTGACCACGACCAAGGAGTTCGGGTAGACCAGGAGAAGAAGTAGCAGGAGATGTGGTGATAGGGGAAGATGGCTGAGGCGAAGGTGTAGAGGACGATGTTGGTGAAGAGGTTGTTTCTGTAGTATCAGGAATGGGGGAGGATGTCGTAGGTATAGGTGGAAGAGAAGAAGCGGGTGAGGTAGTCGGTGCAGGTGCAGGTGAGGGAGAGGTAGGGGTATAGGGAGAAGGCGAAGTAACAGCTGTAGGTGAGGGAGAAGTAGGTGCAGGTGTATGAGTAACAGGAATAGGAAGTGATGATGACACATCCCAGTCATCAATAAACGGAGCAGGTAACGGTAGAGAGGGCGGGGAAGCATCAGTATCATGCGCACAGCCAGGGAACTGATCTTCAACGAAGATAACATCGCGACTGGCGAAGAATGTGTTAGCGTCGATATCGTATAAACGCCAAGCCTTTTTCCCATATGGATAGCCGACAAAGAGGCACTTTCGACTCCTGTGGCCAAACTTATCTTTAGTACGATCTTGGCGATGGGCGTAAGCTAAACACCCAAAGGTTCTTAGGGAGTCGTAGGACGGGGCAGATCCGTAAAGAAGACTGTAAGGTGTCTTGCCTTGAAGAAGAGGTGTTGGAGTACGGTTTATTAGGTAAGCAGCAGTAAGGATACTCTCACCCCAGAAGGTTACCGGAAGATTAGCTTGGAAAAGAAGAGCTCGGGCAACATTAAGGATGTGACGATGCTTACGTTCAACACGCCCGTTTTGTTGAGGTGTGTTAACACAAGAAGTTTGATGCAGGATACCTTGTTGTTGCAGGAACGAAGTGAGTACCATGAACTCTGAACCATTGTCTGATCGGATAGTCTTAACCATCTTGCCAAACTGTTTTTCTGACATGGCGCAGAAATTTTTGATCAAACCGGAAACCTCAGATTTTTCCAACATCAAATAAGTCCAAACAGCACGAGAGTAATCATCGACAATAGTTAAAAAATAAACTGCCCCGCAGGATGCAGGAGTGCGATAGGGACCCCAGACATCAACATGAATCAAAGCAAAAGGTTCCAAAGCTTTATTAATACTCTCAGGAAAAACAGATCGAGTTTGTTTAGAAAGAAAACAAATATCACACGAATGTGTGTCATCCAAAACAACTTTAGTATCAGAAAACGCGGGTAATGTAGAAAGCACTTTAGTAGAAGGATGTCCAAGTCGACGATGCCACAAAACAGTAGGTGATAGGGTGGTTCGACGTGTCTGATTTGAACGTGCGACTGTGACTCCTTTGTAGTAGTAAACCCCCTCTCTCTCTTCACCGGCTCCAATCAGGGTCCTCGTAAAACGGTCCTGCAGTAAGCACAAAGTGTCAGTAAAGATAGCAATACACCCAGTTTGTTTAAGAAGTCGAGCCACGAAGATTAGGGTGCAAGTAAAATTTGGAACAAACAAGACATTGCTAAGGAAATAATCCTTGCTCAACGGCAATGTTCCAATCATAGTAGCTTGAGAAGCTGTTCCGTCAGGAAAGGTGACTGGAGAAGGAGTAATCGGAATGGCACACGTAGTAGAGACAGATTTCCTGTCATATGGTGCGAAGCACCGGTATCTAAGATAACATCAGAAACATGTGTTTTACCAGAGATACGGTCGACGGAGAGCTGAGTTTGTTGATTCTGCAATAAGTTGATCAAGGCTGTAATTTGATCAGACGTAGAGGAAGCAGACGTAGTAGCAGCTGCTGCAGATGGAGGTGTAGAACGACCACGACCGCGTCCACCGGAATTGGAGAGACGACCGCCACGGCCTCTGTTACTTGGGCCCGAAGTTCCTCGCGAAGCAGAACGTTGTTGTTGTTCGAGAAACCATTCCGGGTAACCATGTAACAGAAAGCACTCAGAAGCTTCATGTCCGGTGCGCTTGCAGTGTGTACAAGAACGATTAGTATCGCGATTCCGATAAGTAGTAGCAGCAACAGATGAAGACAAAGCGGAAGGAGAGGACTCTGTTTTGGCTAAGAAACCAACGGCGTCTTGTTTGATCTCATCAGAACGCGTGTTGGTTATGTGTTGCTCAGCTCTTATAACTCGAGAGTAGACGATGTTGAGGTCAGGCAAAGGATCTTCATCGATGATTAGAGACCGAATAGAACCAAAGCGAACTCCATCCAATCCAAACAAGAATTTATGAACCTTAGCATCCTCACGCTCCTTATCAAGCTCAGTAGACGCAGCACAAGTGCACGGTGTAGTGGTTTTGAATGTTTGTTGTTCTTCCCAAAGCTTAGAAAGGCGTCCGTAATACTCAAGAACTGACTGTCCGTTTTGTTTACAATTAGTAATCTCGTCTTCCACGAGATGTTTGCGGACACTGTTCTTGACAGAGAAGCGTTGCTTAAGTGACTCCCACAGCTTGGAGGCATCTGCAACGTGAGAAACAGTAGAGCGAACTTTTGGATCGATCGAAGTGCGAATCCACCCAACGATCATGGAGTTAGTAGACGTCCAGCGCGCAAGATCAGGATTAGTCGTCGGTTTTTGTATAGTACCGTCGATTAAACTTATCTTTTGCTTTGCTTGCAGAGAATTCCACATCTCCACAGCCCATTCAGAATAATTATCCCCCTTAAGTAACACAGGTGTGATAAGAGAACCGGGATTATCTGAAGGGTGTAAATAGTAGGGATCAGAAGATCTCTCCATAGAAGAAGAGGTAGTAGTAGTAGTAGAGGAAGAATTTGACGAAGTCGCCATTAGGGTAAGGTAGTAGGATTTAAGCGGAAGAAAGCGGAAGAAAGAAGAAGAAGAGAATCGAAAAATATTTAGGTCAAAGATCGATTCTGCTCTGATACCATGAAATAGGGTGAAAAGTGTTGTTGTTATTAACGTACGATGACTCGTATATATACAAGATTGACGAGCTAATGATAATGAAATACATGTGAGGATAATGACTAAGTTATAGTTATCCTTATCTCTAATCTATACATACTTATCTCTATAGCTATATAAACAGAAGGAAATCAAAAGTGCAAAAAGTCAGAGACACTAAGAAAATTAAATATACTGACCATAAGTTGTAAAAGTCATCACAAATCATCAACCCGGAGTATATTATGAAGACATATAATAACTATAGTGCAAAGGAAGTTGATACCGTTGAAGGAACAAAATGAGTTGCAAGACCACAAGCAAGCATTTCGGCGCCATCTAACCTAGCTCCTGTGAGGCCAACATACTCCCCTTTTTGCAAGAAAGACATCAAGGATGAGATAGATAGAGTAGCCTCAAAACTATAGAAGGAGATGCAATAAACAAAAGAATTTTGTTTGGTACCAAAAAATCCAGGGAGCCTTGACAAGAAGTAGGAGGCCCCTACGTCTGGAAAGAACCCTAGCGCTGTCTCCGGCATGGCAAAAACCTTGGAGAACACTCAAAAGATATTGAATACCGTACAATATTCTGTTTTAGACCAATGTCACCAATCTAATTGCCATCCACGGAGATGTTTTGTAAGAAGAAGAATACCGTGTTCTCAGTTGCAATACGAAATCGACCATGGACGCAAACACCAGCTCCGCCTCCCATGACAATACCATCCAAAATCGAAACCTAGTTTTTTATTTTTCAAAACGAATAAATGAGCTCTTAATATAATACACTATCACTAAGAAGAGAGAGTACTGAGATACCTGAGGTTTACTATAAGTGGCAATAACATAATTGAGAGTATATTCAAGTGACATGAAATCAGCACTTTGTCTCCATTTGCCTAGTCTGATGTCACGAACAACAGCTGGAACATCACCACCGGCACAAAAAGCTCTTCCCTGACCCTGTGCCAAAGTTTATACACTTGCTTGACACTAGGGTCCTCCTCATATGCATAAACGGAAAGAGATAAAGATACTGACATTGTACCTTTAGGATGATAAGTTTGACACTAGGGTCCTCCTCATATGCAAGGAACAGTTGAAGCAACCGAGTGATCTAGAAAAGACTAATTCAAGCCAAATGTGTACCATATGAGGAAAAAAAAAACAACAAGGGGAAAGATTCAATACCATGTTCAAGGACAGAGCATTAAGCTGCTTCGGTCTGTTTAGTGTCAAGATTCTAACACTCGATGTCTCTTCTACTAAAACCTGAGAGTGAGATTGAGAGGCCATTATCTTCTACTACGGATCAAACTTGTGTTATCCTCAAGGACATATACTAGAGCAGCGATCCAGATCCAGGGAAGAGTATTTTAGTTTTTTTTTGTTGTTTTCTAGGAGTTAACTTCATTTTTAAAAAATAATAATTTGTTTGTTTTGATTCTACTTCTTGATGTTGTTTCTGCAGAATGGTTCATGCTCTGTTTTCTTACTTTCTTTTGTTTTTTTAATGAATTTGACAAATTTATTATTTAATTTCACTATAAAAATTATATATATCAAAATACTTTTGATTGTCACTACGACTCACATAATTTTAAATTGTTCATGAAAATAGTTACATTTAAATGTTAAAATTACTGCACACAAGATTTACCACATTGGCAAATATGTTAAACTCTATATACAATAATTTAATAACATTTTAAAATAACTTATATAAACCTTGATTCAGTTTCCTAACAAAAAAAAAGTACTAAATTATATGTAGCTTATAGAGTTTGGATAATCTGGATCTGGGAAATCCAACGACATGTTCTAATATATCAATTTTAAAAGAGAAACATTTTTTGTCAACGGGATAAAATGAGGGGTAGATCAAAAAAAAAAAAAAAATGAGGGGTAGATACAACATGCAACTACATAAAATGGCGGTCTAAATAAGGAAAAAGAATGTTCATATTTAAGATTCATTTATTTTCAAGATTATTTGTTTTGATAATTATGATTCATTTCTGTGTTTATAACTTTAAACTAGTAATTATATTTTTAAATAGAAAAAAATGAGAATAAAAACGTAACAAATAAAAGATGGAAAACTCTTTAAAAGAAGTAGAAAAAAAATCAATATGGAAGAAACCCCTGTGGCCTTAATTATAGCCGTGGATCTGAAAAATTTCCCAGTCAACACAAAAAAAAAGGGGAAAATTGCCAATAAGGGATGAAATAATGTTAATCTTGTCACCTTAGAATTAAATTCACAATCCTTGTCCCTATAGTATAAATAATAATGAAAATCCTGTTTTGTCCTTAAATTTAATATTTATATGACAAATTAAAGAAATTAATTAGTGAATCGAGAGGGGGTTATGGATTGGGAGAACGTAGCTGCTGAGGATGTGATAGAGGCTCTACGAGAAGTGGAGTGGTCGACGCCTCCTTGTTCATTGGGAGAGTTCGTCTCTAGATTCGTGTCTCAAATGCAATCTCTACTAGTAATTATATTATCTTTTTTTTTCTTTCTTCCGCTTCCAATTCTGGATATTTTGATCTTATGTTTGTTTCATTATTGTTGCAGCTATAGGACGAATTACTTTATCCTGGTTATTTTTGTTATGGGTTAGTGAAAAGTTTGTATTTTTGAGGATTTTTTTGTTTATTTTAAGCTCTTGTAGAGTTTGTTAACATATTTTTTTGTTTTGACTTAGGTCTTGCTTTGATTACAAGACCATCGGCTATTGTGGGTGCTGCTTTTACTGCCTGAAGTATAGCTTTCCTTAACGACAGGTAATGTCACTTCGTTTAGTTTCTACGTTTTATATATCTGCTCTGCAATTTCGATTGAGGCTTCTCATGGCAAGTATGGAGAGATTTAAGACTCCTTTTTATACAGTGGTTGATATCCGGCTTTGATGTTAGGTTCTTCTCGCTTAGCATTGAACCGCAAGTATTGTAGCTGCTGTAGTAGTGTGTGCGTGTTCTTAGTCGATTGGGTGTTCTTGAAGCTTAAAGACATTGTTTTTTTTGTAGCTTTGCGGCTTCTTTTAATGAAAGTTTATAAGAACTATTAGGCTTTTCTCTCCACACTTGGCGGCTAAAATGAGGCCTCCACACATGTGAGTTTCTTATTTTAATTTATTTTCCTTGGAAGATATCAAGAGAGTTCTTAGTTACAACTCTTATCTTGTGAGCACTTGCAGGCCTGTCATACGTGGGTCAGCAGCAAGAAAGACGGTATACGCTTGTTTCAGTGATCTCCATGGTGGTCTTGTTCGTACACTTGGTAGCAACACCTTCATCGAAGTCCAATGCATCAAAAAGGAGCAACAAGAAGAGACGCTAAATTAGTGAAACGATGGTGAGAAAGCTTTGCTTGGTGCTTTGTTGTGTAGCAGTTAAGCACAGTTTCAGAACTTGTAGAATTAGAGAATGTACTCTAATTTTGGTGTTTTAGTCTGCAGTCATGAAGGGTCTCTCTTTTACTCATTCTGTCTCATGCTTCATATGACTTAGTCTGCATTCTCTTTTGCATAGTCAGGAAGTTCTCTTCTTTTGTTATGGTTTTCTGATCAAAGTTTAGATAAAAGGTTCTATGAATGATGATTTGAGCTTGAAATTTGAGGCCTCTTCCAATTTCCAAAACTAATAGGTTCGTCAATATGATGGCTTTTAATCATTGACATGCACATATGTCAGCATCCATTTACGCTGTTAAAATCTAGTTCTATTTGTGTTTAAAAAAATCAGAAAACTTAAAGTTAGTAGCATGTAAGACTTGAAAACGGAAATCTAAATGAACTTACTGAACATAATATACGTTAAGTAAAATTCATAGGAAAGTAAAAACGTCAAAGCCCGTCTAGCTCAGTTTGTAGAGCTCAAGGCTCTTGACCTTGTGGTCGAGGGTTCGAACCTCATGGTGGGCGATATTATTTTTTTTTTTGTTAATTAGTAACTATTTTTTAAAAGGAAATAAAAATATTTAAAAGATTTAGAAAATATTTCATAACCGTTTTTGGCTAGATTTTCGGATCTTATTTAAAAATTTTCTAGAACTTACATTCTACCAATATAGAAGGTAGACGATAAAGTAAGATATGATATACCACGATTGTAGATAAAAAGAAATCTGGAAGAATGTAGTTCCTACGATGCTAGATAATATGTGTGTTTTTATGACTTACAATCTACCAAATATGTAGACTATATAGGTTTGGTAGATTACATATTCTGATTTAGTAGTTATGTTTGTTTATGCTATATTGTGCATCCTACTGTGTTTAGAGCATTGACAATTTGTTAGATTATATATTCTACATTGTCGTAGATGGTAGATCTTACATACTAACACCTTTACCCCATTTTTTGAATTTACTATTTAAACATCTTTTGAATACAAAACTATTTTTCTTAGATGCACATGTTTATCTACATCAAGTTTACTATTTTTCCCTAATTTTTTACCTTGTAAAAAAATTAATATGAATTTTCAAAGACTAAAAGGGTAGTGAAGGTCCAAACATGCCAAAAGTTGATTTTGTTCTAAGGGGACAATAGTATAGTTATTTTGTCCCTTTTTGGCAATTTTCCCAAAAAAAAGTGATTACAGTATTATAGTGTGTAGTTTTCTGTAAAGCTAGTCCACTGAAAAAACAAGAAATTCACTATCATAATGTTGAATTTTGGTTTGCAAAGTTCAAAACAATCACGTAATATTCTCAGATCTAACCGCCTTTGTCAATTATAATCTCTATAAGATGATAAGTTTGACACTAGGGTCCTCCTCGTATGCAAGGGACATTTGCAGCAACCGAGTGATCTGAAGAATATTTCAAGCCAAATATGTAGGCCATGGAGGAAAAACCAACAAGGGGAAAGATTTAATACCATGTTAGAGGACAGAGCATTCAGCTGCTTTGGTTTGTTAAGTGTCAAGATTCTAACACTCGATGTCTCTTCCATTATCTTCTTCTTTCTAACAGGTCAACTCGTGTTATTCTCCCGGACATATACTAGAGTAGCGATCCAAATCCAGGGAAGAGTATTTCAGTTTTTTTTTTTTTTTTCGGGGAATTAACTTCATTTTTTTAAAAAAATGTTTGTTTTGATTCTACTTCTTGCTGTTGTTTCTGCAGAGTGGTTCATGCTCTGTTTATGTGTTTCAAAAAAAAAAAGGGTTCATGCTCTGTTTGTACGCCTTCTTTCGTTTATGTTTTTTTGAATGAATGACAAAATTACTGTTTGATTTTTTTCAATATAAAATTATATGTCAAAATAGTTTTGATTTTTCTCAAGATTCACATAATCGTAGAAGGTATATGCAAATAATCACATTTTGATTTTAAAATTTACTTTGCACAACAGCCCTTTTTCAGAAAAAAAAATTTACACCACACAACATTAAAAGGTTTGTCCAAGGTGTTAATTTTGTGTACAGTAATTTTAACATTTTTAGAGTAACATTTGTATTACGTCCTGCCTAGGTAACCGTCGTTCCATTTTAAGGTTAAGAGGCTATTGCCAACTTTGTTGGATTGTATGGCTCCTTGTCGAGTTTTGTAGGCCAATACATATTACATGTTAAATATGTAGCGTAACATTTCCTATAGAAATGTGGTTCAAATAAATAAAGAGAATGTTCATTTTTAAAATTTATTTATTCAGAAAAAATTGTAAATGTGGTCCATTTTCGTTTTTATCAAATTTATTAGTATTAATATTCTAAAACAGAATAAAATAGGACAAAAAACGTAACAAATAAAAAGTGGAAATTTATTTTGAAAAAGAAGTAGACAAATAATTGAAGGAATAAACCCAATGTGGCACTAAAACCAAACCCGTGAACTCCGCTTACTTATCATAATGTGAAAATTTGTGCAAGATTTTCCATTCAACCAAAAAGGTGATTATCATGTGGAAATTTCTGTGAAGATTGTTCATTTAAAGAAAAAGAAATTGACTGTCATAATGTTGAATTTTAGTTTCGAAGTTCAAAACAGTCACGTAATATCCTCATACTGTAGCTAGCCGTCTTGTACCAATTATATTCTCTATAAGATAAGAGATCTGCGTTGAAGAAACTCATAACCAAAAATGACAGAGACAAGAGAAAACTCGAGAGAAAATTCTAGATGGTGCCTTAGAGGCATGACTGCTCTTGTCACTGGTGGCTCCAAAGGTCTCGGGTCAGTCCAATTTCCTCATACTTCATATGCTATACTAATTATTCAATTTGAAAACTGATTTTATTTATCATTTCAATCATAGACTTATATATATGATCTTTGATTAGACTGATGCTTAATTTACCATTAACACTTTCCTTCAAAAGAGAATTAAACGTTGAGTGAAGTATAAATTTATATTGCATCTGTGCTGTGAATAGAGAGGCTGTGGTCGAGGAACTAGCCATGTTGGGAGCAAGAGTCCACACATGTGCCAGAGACGAAACTCAGCTTCAAGAAAGCTTACTTGAATGGCAAGCCAAAGGGTTTCAGGTTACCACTTCTGTTTGCGACGTTTCTTCTCGTGTCCAACGAGAGAAACTCATGAAAACCGTTTCCTCTCTCTTCCAAGGAAAACTCAACATCCTTGTAAGGTTATGTACAAGAAAAAGATCAAATGATGTTTTTTTTTTTTTTTTTTTTTTTGGTAAAAAAGATCAAATGATGTTGTTGTGTATTGTGTTTGATTCGGGTATATATAAATATACGTATATAGGTAAACAATGCGGGAACGTGTATAGCAAAGCCGACCACAGAGTTTAGTGCAGAAGACTTCTCGTTTCTGATGGCAACAAATCTCGAATCCGCTTTTCATCTCTCACAGCTCGCGCATCCTCTTTTGAAAGCTTCGGGTTCAGGGAGCATCGTGTTTATGTCCTCTGCTGCTGGGGTTGTGCATATCAATGTTGGATCCATATACGGGGCTACTAAAGGTGCATACACTCAAAACATTGATGGTCCTTATCCTTCTAAGACAACATAAATTTTGAGAATATATGTATATTTTTATGCGTTGTAGGAGCTATGAATCAGCTAGCAAGAAACTTAGCATGTGAGTGGGCAAGTGACAACATAAGGGTTAACTCTGTGTGTCCATGGTTCATAGCAACTCCTTTAACCAGCATTGTAAGGCAATAAATAGATAAAATAAAATACAAATTGTTCTTATTGCTATGATTCTTTTTTTAAACGGTTATGTTAAAATCTCTTAATTAGTGTATGGATGATGAAGAGTTTATAAGAGAAGTGGAGACAAAGACACCAATAGGACGTGTTGGAGAGGCAAATGAAGTATCATCGCTTGTTGCATTTCTCTGTTTTCCGGCAGCTTCGTATATAACCGGTCAGGTTATCTGCGTTGACGGAGGTGCCACTATTAATGGTTTATCTTTCAAGTCTTTGCCTTAAGAGGTCAATAGATGATTGTGATGTTTCCGTTTGTCTCTATGTATCTTTACGTTTACTCCGAATAAAAAGGTTGACGAAAAGAAAGCCATATGTTTTCGTTGGACGTAGTTGCTTATATCTCTTTCAGAATTATCATCCCTTATATATTATTTGCGAAGTGATTTTGAGATTGTCATCACCACAATTAATTTCTCCAACAAAATAATTATATGTCCATTAATAATGATGATTCGATTAATTGTGACAGTGTTTTCACGCCCGACCCGGACCCGCGATCTGACCGCTAAACCCGATGACCGATAAGTAATCCGGTTTGGGTTTTAAGAAATATCCACTAATTTAAAACTCCGCTAAAAACCGTTAAACCTGGTGACCCGGCTAGCGGTTAAACCATCGGGTGAACCACTAAGTTATTTTTATTTAGTTTTTGTTATGTTTTTAAATATTTTATTAAATATTTTTTGTGTACCCAAAATAAGAAGTTAGTTTTTTAGTTTCTAATTTTTAGTTTTCTCATAAATTATAGTTTTTTCGTGCTATCACATATACTCTATATCTCCTTCAATTTTATTTTAAAACTTTTGTTGATTTCATATGTGGTAAATAAAATTTGATATTAATTTATAGGCTCTAACTTTTATCATATAAATTTCATTTTATTCTAATCACATGCTTTTATTTTATTTTCTTGATTTTGCATGTTGATAAATAAATGTTTTTTGTTCATTAAATTTATTGATCTTATTTAATTTTGAAAAATCATATATAATATTGACTAAAATTTTTATTGATTTTGATGAACATTGCATTATGCCTCTTAAAGAAAATATATCAAATAATGATAGATATCTAAAATTTATGAGATTTACTTGTTATGATATACTATACGTCTCAACTCTTAATTTTTTTATAAAAAATTATTAAATAGACTAATCTAATTTTAAATATTTTATATGTGCAAAAAATAAAGAGAGTAAATTTAAATATTTTCTATGGTTTTAAGAACTGTGAAATTTTTCCTATATTTTTAATAGTTAATATATATATATTTATTTATTAAAATTAATTAACGTATTGACCCGTGGTTCACCCGTGGTTGATCCAATAACCCGGTGACCCGGTAAAGTATCCGGTTCAGTGTCTGGGTCGGGTTTAAAAACATTGTGACATGTACATTTATATTTAATGTTAATATACATATTTGGTAAGTTTTTAGAATATTACAATAATTGATACATTACAGTTAATGTTGATTTATATTTTTGGTTAACTTCTTAAAATATGGTAATAACTCATAAATCAAATCATTAATAAAAATAAATATACTAAAATATGAATTATAAATTTCAAAATGTTATTTACTTTTAATATTATAATTATACAATTTTTAATACTAATATTTTAAAAAAATTTTACATCTTTTAGAAATTTAATAAAAAATTTAATCCTAATGTCATTAGTTTCTTTTAGATATTGATAAATTTTATAAATAGATTTAGTAATAATTTTAATAACTCTACGAATTTTATATGAATTTTCTTACTAATTTTATACAAATTTATTTAATACATTTAACCTAGATAAAAAATCTAAGATCCGAATTTTAATTAGATTACATATATATTATTAAATATAATTTAAAATAAACAAATTTATTTATTTTATTAATTTTGTGCTTAATTAAATCAAATTTATATTAACTATTAGTCAAAATAATAAAATATATAATATTAATAAATTTTCTTCTAAATATAATGAAATTTTAAAAATTTTATCACTGCACATGGTGCAGGAAAACACCTAGTTGTATTTATATTTCGTGTGTATCTTTGGTACGTCGAAACAAACCACAAATAGGAATGCGGAAACGGATTTTCTTAACCGGTGTTTTCCCAGACAATGTGCTGCGATAAATTTTTAATTTATAGTATATTGAAAAAAAGTCGTTAATATTTTAGGTTTTCTTATTTGTATACCAATATTTTAATATAAATATTTTTTTAGTTAAAATTAAGATAAAATAAATAATTTGATTATTTAAAATAGATATGTATATATTTAAATTATAATCTTAGATATATTTTCATTATGTCATTTGGTTAAAATGTATTTAATCAAGTTGTATAAAAAATAAAAAATGATATAATGTTTTATAATGATCAAAATATGAAACTAAACAAAAATTTTAAAAATGTGTAGATATCAAAAGAAAAAAATGATATTATAATTTAAAATTTTGTAATTTTTTATAAAATTTTGAAAATCTTGTTTAGTAACATAAGCGGTGTGATCATAAAAATATACTTCAATAATATTTCAATTTTTTAAAAATATTTATATTTATATTATTATTTCTCAAAGACTAATAATTGGACACATTCGGGAGCTATGAATCAGCTGGCTAGAAACTTAGAGTATTATTATTGCAGGTTTCTTATGATGAGGTTCTTAGGAAATATAAAACACTGTTTCTTAACTTTTAACTAAAAAGTTAACAAACTATTTTTTTAAAAATACCTTTTAATTTAATATTTTAGTTAAAAGTTAAGAAACAATTTTTATATTCCCATAAGAACTCTGCCCTTATGATATAATTATCGGGGATTCTTATTGGGGGGGTCTTACCAAAAACTAATAAAATAGTGGGATGGGTCCCAGTAAAATTTAAAAACCGGCTCTTGTGCGTCTTATATGGAACGATCTTGGAGGAATTTTTGCACTGTTCGCGGACTCCACTGACATGTGACGACCCGTTATTCTTTACCACACAAAAAAGAATTTCCTAAGAAACCGTGCGATAATTATGTTCTTAGAAACCTACAAGATGCTCGTAGCTTGTGAATGGACAAGTGACAATATAAGGTTTAACTCAGTTTGTCCATGGTTTATCACAACTCCTATGGCTGTCAATGTAAGATATCATTCTGTACTATGTTTTAAGAGAAAAGTTTTATCTACTACTTGTGGGTTTAGTTAAGTTACATGTAAAATTTCGCAGCTTTTGCGAAGTGATGAACATATTAAAGAAAAAATAGAGAGTAGGACACCGATAGGACGTGTTGGAGAAGCGAAAGAAGTCTCATCGTTTGTGGCATTTCCCTGCGTTCCTGCGGCTTCGTACATAACAGGCCAAAGCATTTGCGTTGACGGAGGTGCCACTATAGATGGCTTCTCTTTTCCTTAAAACACATTTATATATATTAGCATGTAAACAAAACATTTTGTGTCTAACTGGAATTTCGATATAGTTGTGTTTATAATGTTGAATGCTCGAAAAGGTTAAGAAATTTGTTTTATAATGCAAGAATATTACAAACAAACGCCAAAAAAAACACAAACAAAAAGGAATTATTCTGCAAGAATATTACAAACAAACGCCAAAAAAAAACACAAACAAACCAAGGAGAAATTGCAAGGAATGAAGTTCTACTTTTTAGTTTTTTAGATAGATACGTGTAGGAGGTGCTTTGTTTGTGCCACAAGGCAAAAACATGAGACTGGATCTTATGGACTAAATGCAACTACGAGCAGTAGCTGTAACTAAAGATTCAAACATCGAAACTGGCTTAGATGATCAGGCCAACAGCTTTGACTGTGAAAGCAAAGTGCTGCAAACAAAGGCAAAACGCTCCAATGACTAAAGCTTAAAATATTCAAGAAACGCAAGAAAGGAGAGTTATTGAGAGTAAAACCTCGCTTTTGCTTGTTGTCATGTTTCTTTTAGGGCCTTCAGTTTTCTGTAACCCTTGTCCGTACCAAAGATCCTGATTAAGTAAACATAAAGAAACCTTTTTACATGTCGTCCATCAAGCTGCAATTAACTCAACTAAGACTTCTGTTAAATTAAGAACAGAGTTGAGATATTTAACCAATCCATGTAGACAAAAGTTGATGAGTAGTTTCCAGACTTTGTGTAGAGTAAACGATGATGGTAGTCATGGAAGTCAGCACTGCAAACACAACATTATTGTATATTTATGTTAACGTCTCATAATATCAAATGTAGCAGCTATGTTTTGATCTTACCCGCCATAGAGAGGAAGAAAATTAGAGGGACTCCATGGGAAATGATAACCACAATGCGCTTCAACTGTCTCAATGACTCTAAGCACCAACCACAACCAAAGGGTGATTAGGTGAGGCCCTGTGAGAGCTGGACCAATAAAGGTAGCAAACCCCAAGAACAGAATCTCAGCTGGATGAGCATATTCTGACGTCAAACCAAACGGTGTGGCGTATCTGTAAGCAAGTATCACCATAGTATCATTTATTGCCAATAGCGGACATAAACAAAATATGGTAATGAATAAGCCTACTCATGATGCACACTGTGCACATTCTTGTACAGCCATTTAGTGTGCAATATCCTATGACCCCAATAGAATACAAAATCCTCAATGATGAAGAAGAATAAGATTTGAGCAGAGACCACTTTCCTGCATGAGCAATCACCAAAGATTGGTTTCATAAACCAGATCAAGGGTAACATTTTTGTTACATATATATATTTTCCTAACTGCCAACTGAAAGATTTTAACATCACTAAAGAACCTTGTAATACCAGGAGGGCAGAGGAAAACTGCTCCGCATGCCCATGAATTTGAAGACACGGTAGGAGAACATCATGAGAGGGAAGTTTACACATGAATGGTAAAACAATAGCCACGATATGCATTTTCCTTGCGCTTCAGGGGTGTTATTTTTTGTCTGCACAAGACCAAACAAGAGTCTAAAAAAAAGAATTGCATTGACATTATTCAAAAATAATTGGGGAAGGACAAGAGAGACTTGTCTATCACTATAGGTATGAAAGATTTTTCTTGAATTCATATGCTGGTCACTTGATGATCACAAAAAAAAGGATATAAAGTGTACAATGGAAGTCTCTTGAAATACGAGAAGAAGAGGAGGCAAAACCTGAATTTTATAACTGCTTAGCAAACCCGTTCTTTCAAGGAAAATGTAAGGGAGACCAGACAAGAAGAAGACAGTTTCATGGACGATAAAACTCCCGAGGCACGACAGTTGGAAGTCGCTGAAATTAGTAACAAGGTACTACATTATCACCAAAAACAAAGGTAATTAGTGGCAGCTATATACATTCATATGCAAAACCAGTAATCATCTGATTAGCGACTTGGCTTACAATCGATAAAGAATCAGTTCATTTGGTCCAGAAACAACTAAAATCAACCATAGAGTACTCTATAGACTATGATCATGCTTTCAAGAAAAATATATAAGCTCAAGTTCCAAAAACAAGAACAAAGTGGTGATCACGTTCGAAATGGCTATTAATGCGGAACCAGATCTGATACCAAACAGCACAAAGGGACCACAACAATCCAATGCGGTGACAAGAATCAATCAAACTAGGCAGATACATCGTATACACAAGTCGGCAGAGATGAAGGAAGGAAATGGAGAAGGTACCTGCCAACCGGATTCAACGAGGGAATCCATTGATAGAGAGAGATGAGGAAAGAGAAGATAAACAATATCTAGACGCAAGAGAGTGAGTAACAAAGAGAGACAGACAACTCTGTAGTTGTTTCTGACACCAAGTTGTATAGTTTTCTTTTAGATCTCTTGTCTTTATCACACGTGCACACACAGTTTCTTTTTTCATTTTTAATCCTCAACTACTCGGATTCTTTTCCTTAAGCACCATATGTTCTTATATGTGACATTTGCACCACCTGATTTGTTTTGAAAGTGAATAGTACGGAGCTATGGTGATAAAACTAGGGACTCTAAAAACGTTTTGACATAAGAATCTAATAGTATTCAGAACGAAGAGAAGAAACAAACATTAGCATTGTAGTCAAATATGGAGAAGCTAACATCACAGAAGAGTCCTGGGTTTGTTACTCTGTTGCGAGACAGTCTCTGTGTTCTACTAACCACTAAGATCACCAAATGTGCAGTTGAGTAGTTCTCTGTCTCTAGATCCTCTTGCCAGTGTACAACTGCAGCAACTTTTCAAATAACCAAAAAGATAATCAAAAAGCTGAGCTACATAATAACAGTCACAAATAGAGTGAGGCAATTCTCAATGTATTATTGCACATAAGCAACATGAGCTAATTTATGTGCTAACACACACACAAAAAAAGTAACATAGCTTTGAAAGATTATTTATGTTCTTCCATTAAATTTACTCTCTTGACGTTACAATGAACTACACAAGACCAAGATCTAGCTAAACCTGAAGCAGGAAATATAGAAACACGTTTTACACTACACTTACAAACATGTGATGTTGCTACAAAATGTAAAAAAGTTTTTACCTTTTGGAGTAATGTTAATTTGAAGCTTTTGGAGTAAAATGTTAATTTGAAGAAAGTTTTTTACCTTTTGGAGGAAGTCGTTGAGCCCTCAAAATTGGATCCAACCGAAGCTGAATCAGATTCTTAATTTCTTGCACAACCGCCTGAGCTAGCCTGGACTGGATACACCTGAATGAAGCCCAGAGTTCCTTTCTTTCCAAGTTATTTTGCCTCTTTTCATATATAATAAAAGAAAACAAAATAAATAGAAAAAACTTCATAAGGTTTTGGTTTCTTAGCTTACGTTAACTACGTGTGGTAGCATAGCGTTCCATGAATCCTTCGAGACCTGAATTCAAATCTGTCTACAATCAAATTATTACAACGCAGGACCATCAAAACTTTCACATTCTCTCTCCGGAGAATGGTTTACCATTTCTTTTTTCTTAGTTTACGTTTTGATTGGTACCAGATCAGCTTGACACTCAATACTTTCTGCTTTGAGTTTTTTTTTTTCTTGTTTTTATTGCTGGAATGGTGAAAACATTGAGAATGAAAAGTAAAAAGTAAAACTGTACTGATACCAAATGTTAATTTTAGTCCCAACCGAAACAAATAATAGAAGACTTATTTTATTGATAGTCTAGAGTACCTTTCTTTCTGACTTAAGCCAAGTTATATGAAAATTAAGACACGAAAAACACAACACGGCTTTACTAACCAATACATTAGATCCAAGAAAGTTAGTTGAATTGAGATCCAAATTTCAAAACAAGAAGAGTCAGTCCATTTTGTTTGACGCCACCTTTAATAATAGTATAATACACACCCCCCAAAGGCACATATATTTAGATTTATCGCCATTTTCGTCATTCCCCACTAAAGATTATTCGTTTTCATCAATCACAAGCCACAACGACTTAACGCTTTAAAAGATTCCATTAAACAAAAAGAAAATTCCACATTCCGTTAACTTTGACGACCGTTACCTACATTTTGAGACACATCTATAAACTCTTTCAAGTTTCATTTTCTTCTCTCCCCATATTTGCTGGATCATCGGTACTTCTTGTTCTTTTTGCCTTCAAATCGCTATTCATTCTCAGGATTATTATGTCTTTCTTTATCTCTAACAATAAGATAATATCATGAAACTCAAGACTCCCGAGGAAGACAACATTCATTTCCCCTCTCCATCTGATTCTCAGGTTCGTTTTCTTGAGATAGGATCAAATTTGTGTTTTCCTTCTCTAACGCTAGCCTTGTGAAACAGCTTATGGAACTGGAACACATCCGTATCTCGAAACCCTACGATGAAGAAACCGAGTCATCACCAGAAACAGAGGAGCCCAATCCTCTTTCTTGCGCGTTTACGAGGCAAGAACATTGCGTTTCCGAGTCAAGAGAACGCCAAGAATCCATAACAAGACTAAGCAGCCTCATCTTTATTTATCTGATCGTTATGTCGGTACAGATCGTTGGAGGTTACAAGGCTAACAGCCTCGCTGTGATGACAGACGCTGCTCATTTGCTGTCCGACGTGGCGGGTCTCTGCGTCTCTCTTTTGGCGATCAAGGTCTCAAGCTGGGAAGCGAGTCCGAGAAACTCTTTTGGGTTTAAACGTCTTGAAGTGTTAGCTGCTTTCTTGTCTGTTCAGCTTATATGGCTTGTCTCTGGAGTTATAATATATGAAGCCATTCAAAGACTTCTTAGTAGAAGCAGAGAGGTTGATGGTGAAATCATGTTTGGGATCTCGGCTTTCGGGTTTTTCATGAACTTGGTTATGGTTATTTGGTTAGGACATAACCATAGCCACCACCACCACCACCACCACAATCATCATAATCATAATCATCAGCATTCTCACAAGGAGGAGGAAGATGAGGAGATGGATCCATTAAAAGGTGGTTCCGAGGAGAAACCGTCGTCGTCGTCGAAGGAGATGAATATTAACATACAAGGAGCTTATCTACACGCAATGGCGGATATGATTCAGTCACTTGGTGTTATGATCGGTGGAGGGATAATTTGGGTGAAACCAAAATGGGTTTTGGTTGATTTGATATGCACTCTTGTTTTCTCTTCCTTTGCTCTTGCCGCGACTATACCAATGCTCAAAAACATATTTGGTATATTAATGGAGCGTGCACCACGCGATGTAGACATAGAGAAGCTCGAGAGAGGGCTGAGGCGTATCAACGGAGTTAAAGTTGTTCATGATCTTCATGTTTGGGAGATAACAGTTGGGAGGATTGTATTGTCATGCCATGTCTTGCCCGAACCGGGAGCTAGCTCTTTAGAGATTATTACTAATGTTAGGAATTTCTGTAGGAAAACTTGTGGGATTCATCATGTAACAGTTCAGGTTGAATAGCAAATGAGAGTAAATATACATATGAAAAATCACTTAGTAATCTCAAAACCTTCCTCATTCAGACAAGTTTTTAAAAGAAACTCTTACACTGTTACACAACACAAGAGGTTTTATTATTTATTGAACTTATTTATTGAACTGATTTGAGTTTGAGGCTATCCATGCGAGCTTTTATGTAGTTGAGATGTTCATCTTCAGGAGGGATACATTTCTTGATGACATCAACGTCCAAAAGATTCTCCACCCATCTATGAATCTCTGGGAACATCTCCACAGGAACAACCTTGACTCCAACGACCTCTTCAGTTCTCATCAGCCAAAACGCCACCAAAGTTGCAACTATGTCCACGAACCCTAACCTTTCCCCACCAAGAAAGTTTTTACCAACAAGCTCTTTCTCCAACAGCTTCAATAAATCTCTAGTCGCTTCCACCGCCACGTCTCTTTCCTCTCCCACCTTCCCCACCACTTTCATAGCCGTCACATAAATCTAGTATTCTCAAATAACCGGTTAGAAACTAAACCGGGTATTAATATTGAAAGTTTTGAAGTCAAACTCATACCTGTTCATCGACGAACCTGGCCCAAAACCGAGCCATGGCTCTGTGGTATGGATCTTGAGGGAGGATGGGATTGTTTTGCCATGTATCATCGATGTACTCAAGGATCACGAGTGATTCAGAGATTGGTTTACCGTTATGGAGAAGAACCGGAATCATCTTGTGAACCGGGTTTGATTGGAGTAGCAAAGGGCTCTTGTTGGCTATGTCTTGCTCAGAGAACTCGTATGGTACACCTTTGAGGGTGAGAGCTATCTCGACCCGGCGGCTGAAAGGACTAGCCCACATCCCCAGTAGCTTCACTTCCTCTGATCTCTCCGCCATTGTTTCTCAGTGTAGCTTGTTTCTTGATTTCTGAGTTTGGCTTTTACTTATAGAAGCAAAGTCAACATGATACGGGTTTAACTAGAGCAAGTGCAATCCGGTTTACGAATATGTTTACATGAGTTATTTGTTTAGTTTCGGTTCCGTTTGATAAAACTGTAGTTGAAAAATTGCTTACAACATTGCATATATCGGTTTAGATTTCGGTTTTTAGGATTAATAAGAAATTTCAAGCGAATGATTATGGTTTATCTTTTTTTTTTGGTCAAATTTTGGTTTGTTTTTTTTTTGGTTGTGTTGACGTCATGAGTGACGAACGGTGCATTGAAAACTTAAATAAATACATCTTGTCTTAAAATAATGGTTAGGATTTTGTCCCATCAATACACAAGACTTTGGTCAAAAAAGGCAACGGGGTGAGCCCCAGGAGATGTTTTCTGCTTATTCCTAACTGAACCCTGAACCATCCCTGTTAAATGGGGATTTCAAGCTGTTGGGGGTCTTTGGCCGGCGTTTCCCCGCCAATCCCATAAGTCAATAACATGTCCCCTACCAGCAGCCAGCCAGTACACTCCTCTGAAGGTACAAGAAACCAACAACATTTAAAGGGTGGTCATGAGGAGAAATCGTTGTCAAAAGAGATGAACATTATTAACATACAATGAGCATATTTACACGGGCCTTTGCCCTTGCCGCGACTCTCCTATAATGCTCAAGGTCATATTTGGTATACTAGTGCGCGATATAGATATTGAGAAGCTTGAGAGAGGGATTAGGCGCATCAATGGAGTTAAGATTTTTCATGATCTTCATATTTGGGAGATAGCTGTTGGAATGTATTGAATTGCTTGTCATGTCTTGCCTCAACCTGGAGCTAGTTCTATAGCGATCATTAATGATGTTAGAAATTACGTATGAAAACTTGTGGGATTCATCATGTAATAGTTCAGGCTGAATAGCAAAATAGACTAAATATACATGGAACTCACGGAGTAATCTTAAACCTTCCTTAATCACGTTAGAGTAGAGGCAAGTGAGCTATCTGCAGAGTAATAAATCATAAGCTGAACCAGAGAGAGCTAGAAGAGACCCATCTCCTCAGAACGCTTACAGGAAGAAAAAAAGAACATGTCAAACATAGTTTAGAAAATGATCTCAACTCCCAAGTGAGCAAGAATAGAAAAGCCAAGTTGTGAACCACCAGACATCGATACTTGTTATGCTTCAACAATGCGCAAAAACACCAGCTTCTGCAAAGGTCAACAATAAGTGCTGAAGTACTGCTGATATCTGACTCTAAGGCAAGAAAAACTGAGGCGCAGAAGCAAGTGAAGTTGCCGTTGAGGAATCAAAGCTGTTAGAACCTGTTACTAAACTCCTCAGACTTATCTACAGATGCTGATGGAAGCACAGTGAGCAGAATTTCTCCACGGAAGTAAGATGTGCTTCTGATAACACATCTTGTTGAGATCCACTCTAGGTATACGACTTTCTATATTCTCTATGTAATGCACATTTGGTGGAAAGTTGAAACACAATATCTCCATCTTCATGTACTGGAAAAGAAGTATCAGACGAAGCTGATAAACCACTTGCAAGAACTGCATCTACAGCTGGAAACATCTGCTGGTCCACATGATTGGACCACTTGAGGTCCAACAACAGTTACTGAAATAATTTCTGTTTAAAATAGTGAATGAATTCAAATAATTTGATATAAATCCGCTGCAAAAATCTCATTTGTGACGCATACAGGCAAGCAAAACAGGTACATCCACAGCTAGCTAGTCCAATACTTAATCAGTATCATCCCTGATCTTCCGACCCCAAAATCGGCTTTATTGCCTTTTGAGACAAGGATCTTCACTTTAGCTTTCCTGACCAAAACAGTATGCGCCTTCATCTAATAGTGATGCTGGCCAATCAGGGGTTAATGGTAGGTTAGTCGGAGTTACAAACATAACACCGTAATGTCTCTTTTACTCAAACTGTCAAGTGTTTCGAATAAGTGCGTGTTGATCTCTGACTTTATCTGAGATTACGATTAAATTTGCTGGAGAGAGGATCTTCGATCTTGTATTCGCCCATGGTGAGAGTTGGAGTCTTTCACGCTAAGTTAGGGTTAGAGCATCCGCAACAAGGAATATTTAGGAGGAATCTTTAGGAAAAAAGAAAAAAGCTATTTCAGATTATATAAGGATTTTTCGAATTATTTCCTTAAAATAAAAAAATCTGACCAATCGTGGACTGACACGTGGGCAGTGGAACCCATGAATAGTGTAAGGATCCATCCGGATCAATCCTTACATAAGGATTTTATTCTTAAAATCCTTAACTATTCATGGGACCCATTGATTATAAAATTAATATTTCCTTAAGGATTCTCCCTAAGGACCCCTTGTTGCGGGTGGTCTTAGGTCGGGTCGGCTGACAGAAAACCTGACAGAGAGATATATATATATACATGTGTCTAACGTGTGTTTAGCCATCGGATCTCATAGGAAAAACTGAATTTTACACTATTCGCGGGCTCCACTGCCCATGTGGCGATCCGTGAGTGGTTAATTTTTTTTTTTTTCTAAAAATCTGAAATATCCTTATATAATCCGAAATATCCATTTTCCTTTTTTTCCTAAGGATTCCCCCAAGGATCCGCCATTGCGGAAGCTCTAAGGGTGTTTGATACGTGGCATGTTCAACCGTCGGATCCGTACCATATTTATGTATCATATTTCGTTTGTTTGTTAGGGAGATCTTAAAAGTCAATTGCTTTAGGGGCGATTGGTTGGACTGTAATAATATAAATTTTTCGTAGAAATTTTGAATGAAAGTAATCCTATAGTAGTATTTTTTTTTTTGCTTTAGAAAATAAGGTTTTTACAACTATTTTTTCTTTTTACTTTACTTTTAAAAACTAATTAAAACATGATTGATGATTTATATGATTGTAGATAGAAAATAGTCACTAATTAAATTGCTTTTCTACTGTAACGGCGGATGCAGAAATTACTTATTTAGTAAATTGTTCATACAACTTTTGTTTAACGAGGAGATACAAAAATATATGTCTCTTATGCCAATTTGATTCGCTCTGCAACTTTCATCATATGCTCAATTTGTTTCTCTCTGTGTGGAATACATTCCCTCACAATTTCGATATCACTCAAGTTCTTGATCCATCTGTTAAGTTCTGGAAACTTCTCCTCTGGAATCATATTGATTCCCATACCTTCCCAACCCCGAGCTATACAAAACGGGATCATACTTCCCGCGACCAAGTCTAAAAATCCGATTGTCTTGCCGCCGAAAAAATCTTTTCCGGTTAGTTCCTTCTCCAGAAAGGTAATGAGTTCTTGACCCTCTTCAATTGCAACCTCTATTCCCTTGTCTGGTTTCGCCACAGACTTGAAACATACTGGTCCAACCTATAAAATATATATTACCGTTTTGTCTTTAAAATGAATTGGAGTTAAATTTTATTTTGCGAAAGCAGAAAAAAAAAATATGAATCAGTATATGATTTTATTGAAGATTGGGGTGACATAGATGAAGTACAAAAAAAAGTATGTAGATTCAAATTTGTATTTTTTTTTGAATTCCACATAATTTTGTAATGATCTAAAAAAAAAATTACTAATGAATTTTTTTTTTTTTTTTTTGAGAAAGGGCTTCAAAATTTTATATATACGGAATCGTTTCTCAGTTTCGAACTTCGGTGGCTTAATCAGAGCGAGGATCCTAAATTCACTATTTAAAATGTAACGATTTTCTATGCATTTTTTTTATAGATCACGTATGCAATTAGTTAATAAAGGAACTGGTATAAGAGTTACCTGTTCATCAACGAACTTGGCCCAGAATCGAGCCATGGCTTTCTCGTAAGGATCTTGAGGAAGGATAGGATTGTTCTTCCATGTCTGGTCGATGTATTCAAGGATCAGATGTGACTCAGCTAATATTTTACCTTCATGGACAAGAACCGGAACCTTCTTGAAAACCGGGTTTAGCTCAAGAAGCAAAGCGCTCTTGTCGACAATATCTTGCTCCAAGTACTCGTACGACACGCCTTTGAGTTTGAGAGCCATCTTGACCCTACCACTGAAAGGGCTTGCCCAAAACCCTAGAAGCTTCACATCCTCTTCTTTCTTCGCCATTGGATCTCACTTGCTTTTTCTCTAGACTTCTAACTCCTTGACAAGTTTATTTCTGGTTCACAATCCAATTCTTTTTATAATTAACAAAAGGTGGGAAACACACGTCAGGGCTCACGTAAGTTGGACTTGTCCCAAAAGCCAAGACTCTTCACAGGATATTTTTCTTCGCCATTGGATCCTAGGTACATTGTATGCATATCGTTCATATAAGCGATTTTAATTGGTTACCATTTACCAATTATTCAATAACTTTTTGCAAGAATAATTCAAGGTTGGCTACCTACTATTTTCTTTTACTTTTTTACACCTGTTAAACATCTATTAAACAATGGCTATGAATGGTGACCAAAGGAACGAGGAGGAACAATACATTCCTTAATATTCCTAAAAAAATTTACCATTCATAAAGAATATCTTTTCCTTTTTATTCCTCATCATTCCTTTTATTGTAGAGATTTATTGAACAAATTTGTTCCTTATTAAACTTGATATGGAATAACTATTCCTCTTCATTCCCATAATTTTATTCCCTTCTATTCTTTTTTTATTTGTTCTTGATGTTCCTGTGATGGTTACCAGTTAGAGCCAATGTGTTTTTGACTTTTTGTGGGAAAACAAAATATTTAGTGATATACATCCTCATATGTCAGTAAATCTCTAAAAAGGAGTATATACTACTAAAAAGGATCGTATCTATAAAAAAGGAAAGCTCTAGTAAATAGAAGATAACTTGGATATTCATACAAATTACTACCATTAGATAAAGTTTTAGTATTTTTTATTACATAATTTTTACTATTTATTATTTCTTTTGATTCATTATTACTGAAATTATCTTTAATAGTTAAAACAAGATGATTTTATTCCAAAATTATCTTTAATAATTATCTTATAATTATAATCTTTAATAATTATCTTATAATTATAATCTTTAATAATTAAAACAAGATTATTTTGCAAAAAAAGATCTGAAATCAAATTATATTACATTTCTATTTTTATTTGTTCCACTTTTCATTTTTCTTTTATTATATTTCTTGTAAAATGTTGACTCATCACTCATCCATATAATAAAAAATATTTTGCATATATTATGAATTAAGTTTTTGTACTAAAGATTTGAAATCTATGAAAATAAAAATGTGTCAAAAATCCCATTGGATACCAAAATTTGTAATAATCTAAAATATATGAAAATAAATATAAAATGATTTGGAATTGTAAGAGTATAATTTTTTTGTTCAAGAGTAGACAAGTTTATTTAGTAGGCATTCGAGTTTGAAAGTTTAATTAATAATTTTAGTTGAACCGTAGTATACATGAAGAAAATAAATAGTATACCTATTTTAATTTCTTAAAAAATATTTTAATATTCAAACTTGTTTTAGCAGTATTAATCCCTACACGGAATACTAATATTAATATCTTCTAGTTTTTTAGCACTAGTCGCATCAATAGTTACAACATCATATATATTACAAATGAATGATCTTATATACTCCACATGCCTAGGTGATGTTGGTTAGTTACTCCATATAAGTAGTTAATACAATAGTTTAAAGCCACATTATATGTGATATTGCCATATATCAGTAAAGCTTTTGTAAGTTGGTTACAATAATTCAATTTGGTTACCATCTAAATTATAAACAAAAAATGTGATATTATCATATATATCAATAAAGCTTTTGTCAAACAACATCTAGACATTCATATACAAATCGTCTGTACGACCACAGTGGATGCATTTTAGCACTCATCTTTATTTAGTAAACCAATCAAATCATACAACTTTAAAATAACTAAACAATACAAAATACAGTAAAAATCTCCGGATCAAAGCATATAGTCACGCCGCCTTCGAAGCAGCTTTTATACGCCCTACAATTTTCATCATGTGCTCAATATTTTTCTCCCTATTAGGAATACATTCCCTCACGATCTCAATTTCTTTCATTTTTTCAATCCAGCTGTTTAGTTCTGGAAACTTCTCCTTTGGAATCATATCAATTCCCATACCTTCCCAACCCCGAACCAGACAAAACGGGATCATACTTCCCACGACCATGTCCAAGAATCCTATGGTCTCCCCGCCGAAGAACATTTTCCCGGTGATTTCATTCTCTAGATATGTTATAAGTTCCTGAGCCTCTTTGATCGCAACATCAATTTCCTCTGATTTTATTAGAGACCTAAAGCCTATTAATGTGACCTACACGATAGACATATTTATCAAATGTCTCATAACAAAACTATTAAGTATTATTTTTTGTTGTCTATAGTATCCAACTTAGTAACGATGTCGAATAGCTTTAGCTGATGAATGATACAACAAAATTTTCACATTTGCTAGATCAATACGCAATATTATACACGTGTTAAACATAGCTTGTACAAAAACTATCTAGCATGTCTAGAAATTACATACGCAGTTAGTTTTAACAAAGGAAGTAGTCTTTACATTTACCTGTTCATCAACGAATTTGGCCCAGAAGCGAGCCATTGCTCTGTCGTATGGATCTTGAGGCAGAATTGGATTCCTTCTCCATGTCTGGTCGATGTATTCAAGGATTAGATGTGACTCAAGTAATACTTTACCTTTGTGGACAAACACTGGAACCTTCTTGTAAATAGGATTTAGCTGGAGAAGCAAAGGGCTCTTGGTGACCAAGTAATCTTCGTCTGAGTAATCGTAAGGAACACCTTTGAGTTTAAGAGCCATCTCCACCCGGCGACTGAAAGGGCTTGCCCAAGACCCTATAAGCTTCACATCCTCTTCTTTTTCTGACATTGAATCTCTCCCACTCTCGCTTACTTTTTTTTTCCCTATGTAACTCCTCTGTTCTTCTTTGACTATTTATACTATCAAGCAAGCGATGCTTGATTGTAAATAAGAAAAAGAAAAGTTCGTTTTCGTTTAGGCCTTTACTGTAATTGTAAACTATGTTTGGGTAATTGATCACTAAACCATAGACCCGAATCCAGATAATTGTAATTCGAATACGTGGTTATTCTTCTACTAATGAAGAATGGTCTATGAGCATGTCGAAGGTCAGAAGGTGTTACTATTTCCACTATCGATTGGTTAAAAGTGCATTAAAAATGCTCAAATATTTTTTAAGACTGGTCGAAGATTCAAAGCTTAAGTAAAAAATTGTGTTAAAATAGAATACTTGTGATGTTATAAAAGCTTCACCTAAGTTAAAGTATACATAATGATAAGTTATTCGTTCAATCTTAAGAAATATATTTAATCCAAACAATTTATAAAGGATATTTTACTTTATTTATTTTAGATTTCTTGTGGTGACTAATCTTATTTCAAAACTTGATGTTCCCCTTTTTAAAATCCAAAAATCATAATCTTGTAAATTTCCAAAAGATTAACACTGAACATAAAGAAAAAAAAAGAGAGTATTTCCGTGATAATTGAACCTATATATCTAACTCTTGACACAATTTAATAAGCAATTATATACTATTAATTCTTTTCAAAAAAAAAAATTATATACTATTAATTATACTATCATCAATCCATTCTGTTTTATTTTTAATTAAAAGGATACAGACAGTAAGTAAACGCATCGAGTCAAGGACGTCGTCTCTTACACAGAAATGAAAGGTTGTTAATAAAAACTTTGGTATACTTTTCTTCGTGTCGTCAGAAGAACATTCGTGCTGAGTATATTGATGCATGCACAACACTCACGAGTAATCATTGTATCAACCACGGACATCTTGAATGTTACACAATTATTGACCAAAGGACATCTTGATCGTCATGGCTGACGTTACTTCAACTTCGTCCATCGCTATAATCTAGTCCTTAAACCTCACGTGTATATATCTTAGTAAGTACGATTGATGATACAAAATGCTATGAGTTTTTTTTTTAGAAAAACCAAATGCGGTTAGATAGAGAAAATCTAAATATATGTATATAAAAACATTTTCTGATTGGTAACTATAAAAAATAACATTTACAGACAAAAAGTAATAAACTATTCAAAACTACGAAGTTTACCAATCAAATTAACTAGGTATGTTGGTAGAGTACTACATATGTATATTTTAGATATATGGTTTAGTACATATCAAATCACTGTTTATTTCAAGCCTCCAGAAGTACAGGCGAAGAGAGAAAATATTGATTTGAGTTATCTTGTGGCTGGTTCTGGCGGCTTTTCTATTGTTGGACCCGATTCTTTGGGTGTTCTCCCGTTTGTTTGTGTTGTATTAAGTATTTTGTCAATCCGGTCTTCTTTCTTTTGAGCATCTATGTTGTTGGATGGTACAAATTTTGGCTCTTTCCGCTCAGGATTTTGTAGCACATCAAATTTTGAAATAAAAAGATTTTGACAGGAAAAAGGTTCATTGTTTACTTAACTAAAAAACTATTGAGTTTTTAACTATGGATATTTTTTTTTTGAAATGAATGTTCAATTTTTTCAGACAAAAAAAAATTATTTATGGGTAAAATCATATGCAATAAACGGTGATGGATAACAATGATATGATTTGAAACATCAGTGCAGTGATATCCCTTCTTTAATTTTATTTCAGTTACCAAACGATACAAACACAGCAAGAACCTATTAAAACAAGAGTAACAAAATGTAGTCTTTATTTATGAAGACTTAGCTTTCTCTATAATTTTGTTCATGCGCTCAATATGTTTCTCCTTTGGAGGTATACATTCCCTCACGATTTCAACCTCATTCAACTTCTTGATCCATCTGTTCAGTCCTGGAAACCTCTCCTCTGGAATCATATCAATTCCCATACACTCCCAAGCCCGAGCCAGACAAAACGGGATCATACTTCCTGCAACCATGTCCAAAAATCCAATCGTCTTGCCTCCAAAGAAATCTTTTCCAGTAACTTCCTTCTCAAGAAACATAATCAGTTCTCGAGTCTCTTGTATAGCAACTTCTATTCCTCTCTCTGGTTTTACCAAGGGCATGAACCCTGCTGGTAAGATCTACAAGAGTTAGATCCATCAAAAAAAAAAAAGAGTACTTGTAAGAAAATTTTATTCTGAATATAAACTGTTTAAAATGTATTGAATGTTATTAAATTTATTAGCTTACCTGTTCATCAACGAACTTGGCCCAAAATCGAGCCATGGCTTTCTCGTAGGGATCTTGAGGTAGAAATGGATTGTTAGTCCATGTTTGGTCGATGTATTCAAGGATCAAATGTGACTCGGATAAGACTTTATCATTGTGGACAAGAACAGGAACTTTCTTGTGAACCGGGTTTAGCTCAAGAAGCAAAGGGGTCTTTTTGGGCAGTTCTTCCTCTAAGTATTCGTAAGGAACGCCTTTGAGCTTGAGAGCCATCTCGACTCTACGACTGAAAGGACTTATCCAAAACCCTAAAAGCTTCACACTCTCTTCTTTCTTAGCCATTTGATCTCTCACTCTATCACTTCTAGCTCTTTAGATCTAACTCCTCTGTTCTTGTTTAGTTTTTCTATTAAACCAAAAAGGACATCTTTAAGGTTTCCAAGTCATTGTTCACGCACTCTCGCTTATTTCAATTTGTTTAATGTTTAAAGAATTTTTTTTGTTGCAAATAAATTATGTTTTCAGTAATTTAGATAAAATTTGATGTTATTTAAAACTTGTGACTAATTAGATAATACTCTCTCTGTTTTTAAATAAGTGTCATTTTGACTCTTTGCACATAAATTAAGAAAATTGTATAATAGACTAATATATCCCTATTTAATGTATGTTTAATTAAATGAAAATAATTTAAGTAAAATACTATTGGTTATTCAAAAGGGTAAAAAATATATTTAATGTACAAAATTACATTGGGATTGTAGAATGACACTTTTTTGAAACAAAATTAAAAGGCTAAAGTGACACTTATTTAGAAACGGAGGGAGTAGTACACTTTTTATTTGTTATAAATCAAATTTATTTAATACTGATTTCTATGATCAAAATAAATGGTACAAAATTCTTTCTTAGTATATTTTTTTAGAGAAACCAAGATTTCGTTAATTTTATAGTCAACCGACACAGACCAGTGGACCACGTGGTTCCTTTCAAATTACGAGCCGTGAATTTTGGTTTGGTATCGTGATTGGTTAACTAAAACTCGGAACGTTTAGGATATCCGCTTTGATTTAAGTCCGGCTAATTTCGGTTTGTGGAAATTAAAATCTTACGTTATTTTTATATGGATTCTTATTACACACAATTATTACGACACATAATAATCATCACGCAGTTAAACAGAACCAGAACACAACACATAGACACAACAACAACACCATTTTTAAACCAAAGCTCAAACCAGGGAAGCTCGGATGGTTGAGTGATCAGCCAGAGATCTGAATAGACTTAACATCAGGCTTCTTGCTCTCAGCCTTAGGCACAGTCACGGTCAAAACACCATTCTCCATCGCAGCCTTCACCTGATCCATCTTCACATTCTCAGGAAGCCTAAACTTCCTCGTGAACTGCCCGCTCGATCTCTCAACGCGGTGCCACGTGTCGTTCTTATCCTCCTTCTCCACGTGTCTCTCTCCGCTTATCTTCAGGACGCTGTCTTCCTCGATCTCCACCTTCACTTCCTCCTTCTTGAGTCCAGGCAAGTCCGCCTTGAACACGTGCGCCTCGGGGGTTTCTCTCCAGTCCACGCGTGCGTTCACGATGGCTGAGTTGTCTCGGGAGAGGGAAGAGAACTCTCTGAGTGGGTCCCATACGTCGAGAGAGAAAGGATCGAAGAAGCTGTTTCGCCTGTTGTTACCGAAGAAGCTTGGAATCAACGACATTTTGTGTTTTTTTTTGTTGTGAAGAGTTTTGCCAAAAAGAGAAAGTTGTGAAGTTAGTTTGATTTGTTTTGAGATTTGATTTTTGACTTCTGAGTAGGCAGGCAGCATGGAATAATGTATTTATAGGAACGAAAAGAAATTTCTCGAGCTTCTCGATTTTCTCTGAAGAAACATCTGGAGCCTGAAATGAAGAAAATTTCAGGTGAATCCAGAAATTTCGTTGGAGGATTTTCTTTTCGTTGAATGGGACATGTAATGGGCCTTATTAGTAAGTCTATGATAGGCTTAAAATTGGGCTATGATAGTATAACTTATGGGGATTATTGATCTGGACGCAGCTCTTCTAATCTAATCTAATCTAATAGTGTGTTAAGTTAGAGCTGGGTCAATACTGACGAAATTCCCGCCTCCATTAAGAAATCTCGATCACGATTCGGTTTTTACTAAATCAGTGACACAAAAAGATGTGACTTTCCTTTTGGACACAAAACGAATTAGTCCATAAGGGAAAAAGGTAGATCAGTGGCTAAGTCTGTGTGTGAATGGAAAATCTTTTTTCAAAAGACAAATAGTACTGTACAATGGAAAAGAATGAATTTTGAGTTAAAAAAAGAAAGAAAAAGCAATATGGTGCTGCCCAGGATCGAACTGGAGACCTTTTGCGTGTAAGGCAAACGTGATAACCACTACACCACAGCACCTGTTGTACATATTATTCGTTAAATGTAACTTATTCAGTTCAACCAAAATATCAGATGCATTTTAATTTTGATCAAAAGGTCAGATCGTTAAAATGCTAAAACAAGGTAGAAAATGTTCAAAGATTGTTAGACCATTTCTTAGTCTAGTCTTTACTACTTTGCCCAAAGTTCTTAAACTCAACATAGGTTTTAGTCAATCTTGTGCTGAACTGAAGAAAATTGTGAATGTAACTTGATTTTCAGAAGCATTATAGTGGACCTTCTCATACGCCATTAGTACTTCCATTGACTACAAAGGACGGAAAGACCTAGAGCAAAGAAGACCACGAGACACTTCCATACGAGAATAATGTAGCTGTTAAGCATTGACCTTATGTCTCGTCACATAAGTTCGAATCCAAGCATAATCTTAGTTAGAAAATGTGCGTTTTTGCACATGAATCAGACAGAAACGTTCGTTAAAGTGAGTTAGGATAACAGGTTTACTTTTTCAATGTAAAATACTAACTCTTTCATTCACCCCTTTAGAAATAATGGGTTCACAGAGAACAATATGATGCAAATTTGTTGACAATAAAAACAAGATTGCATTGAACTTTAGAATTCTCTATTTTCAAAGTTATCTTATGTGTTTGTGTCTAAACCACAAGAAACTTGATTCCCTAGGCGATCCGGCTAGGGAGGTGTTGAAAGATGCGTGTCAAGAGCTCATGATCATGAACAGACATGTGAAGAGTGTCTTTGATAAGGCTGTTACAGAGTTGAAGGAAGAACAAACACGTTTGATGGCTTAGGAATAGCGGAAAAAGGCTGAAGATGAAGAGATCTACTTGAGTCCAAGGACATTGAAAGCGACTAAACTGTAAAGCAACACATACATTATGTTTCTCTATTGAGTTTATCTTGTCTCTCCTAAATCTTAAATCTAGTTATTCATGATTTAGCTATTGTCGAATATTCACAAATCCACACTAGCAAGTTGCAAATAAGCTACAGGTTGTTATTCTAATTAGTGAGCAAAACAATAGAACTATAGAAGTAGTAGCAAAATGTTTAAGGCAGCTAATCGCCAGACTGATTGTGTTTAAGCAAAATAGGCGTTTAAATGATCCATGAGGCTTCTATTGGACTTAATTTGGAAAACTCCATCCGTTTATAACGAAAAACCTCGGGATGTCCTATAGCAAAATCCTCAGACGACACGCATGCTTGCGTAATGAAACGGGCCACACCACTTAAGCCTTTTTATATAAGTGTAGCAAAATGGGCCAGGCCTAACTTCGGCTGAACCTCCCCCTATAAAAAGAATCTTGTTTAAGGGTCGGTTGTGACCGGTTTAATTTTGGTTTAAATTCAATTTAATTTATCCGTGGGACCCCCTAATAGATATTTAATTTTGGACGATATTAATATCCCCAAAAATCGTAAGCAAATCTAGTTTCTTTGGCCCTACGAAGTTCGAAAAAAGCTAGAGGAGGAGGAAGAAGATGGCTCATAGAATACTGAGAGATCACGACGCTGATGGCTGGGAACGCTCCGACTTCCCAATCGTCTGCGAGTCCTGTCTCGGTGACAATCCTTATGTCCGAATGGTAAATTTCATCTATCTTCTCTTCCTTACTGAATCTTTAGCTTTTGATAATATATAGTGAATTTATAATTAGGGTTTTACGCGATTTCGTTAACTTACAGCCCTAAACTGATGTCTGAGATTTTTGATGTAGTTCCTGTCTGATTTGTTTATTTATATATTCAGACAAAGGCGAGTTACGACAAAGAGTGTAAGATCTGCACCCGACCATTCACTGTCTTCAGGTGGAGACCCGGCCGTGACGCTAGATACAAGAAAACCGAAATTTGTCAGACTTGCTGCAAGCTCAAGAACGTGTGTCAAGTCTGTCTCTTGGATCTTGAGTATGGTCTTCCCGTTCAGGCCAGAGACACTGCTCTCAACATCAGTACTCATGATTCCATCCCAAAGAGTGATGTCAACAGAGAGTTCTTTGCCGAAGAGCATGATCGAAAGGTATGATTTCGACTCTGTTTTCAAGGGCTCTCAAGTTTGTGTAATAGCTTGTTGAAAATTGAGTTTTTTTTTTGTTATGTAGACGAGAGCTGGACTAGATTATGAGTCTTCGTTTGGGAAGATGCGTCCAAATGATACCATTCGTATGCTTCAAAGAACGACGCCGTATTACAAGAGGAACCGCGCACATGTTTGTAGTTTCTTCATTAGGGGAGAGTGTACTAGAGGTGAAGAGTGTCCTTACCGTCATGAGATGCCTGAGACTGGAGAGTTGTCTCAGCAGAATATTAAAGACCGTTACTATGGGTAAACCAAATTACTGTCTTTTTCATCTTCTTGTATTATGTTTGATAAATTTGAATTGTTTTTCTCATCTTGTTCTTGACATATTGCAGTGTGAACGATCCGGTAGCGTTGAAGTTACTTGGAAAGGCTGGCGAGATGAGCACATTGGAGACTCCAGATGATCAAAGCATCAAGACGCTTTACGTTGGCGGACTAAACTCTAGAGTCCTTGAGCAAGACTTACGAGATCAGTTCTACGCCTATGGAGAAATCGAGTCCATCAGAATCTTGGCGGAGAAGGCATGTGCGTTTGTCACTTACACAGCCAGAGAAGGAGCGGAGAAAGCTGCGGAAGAGCTAAGCAACAAGCTGGTTGTCAACGGTCAGAGGCTTAGAATCTCTTGGGGAAGACCTCAGGTTCCTAGAACCGATCCGGATGGCGGCGGCGGGTCGCAGCAACAAGGTGGTGTGGCTCACAGTGGATTACTGCCTCGAGCTGTGATATCTCAGCAGCATAATCAACCTCCACCGATGCAGCAGTACTATATGCACCCGCCACCACCACAAGCTCCTCATCAAGACAGACCGTTTTACCCATCGATGGACCCTCAGAGAATGGGTGCAGTCATTTCGTCTCAGGACAGTGACAACAGAGGAGCTATGCCTCCACATGGGAATTATCAGCAGCACCAGCCATACCCGCCACAGCCATATGGAGGAGGGTATATGCAACAACCTTACCACCATGGCCCACCACAAGCTCCTTATCCTTATCCGCAACAACAACAACCGGGTCCTGGTTCAAGGCCTAATCCTCCTCCTCCAGGCTCAGTCTCTGCTCCACCACCTGACTCTGTTTCTAATGCACCATCAGGTTCCTCTTCTCAGCAATCGACTGCTGTTACTGGTTCGTCTCAATAGAAACCGTTGCCAGTTATTTGAATTTTTGCTTGTGTTATTTAAATAGACCCCAGAGATCACAGAGTATGCTGTTTATTGTAAGTCATGAAACTGCCTTGGTTATTATTTGTTCTCTTCTAATTTTTTTTAATTAACGTCAGAGTCAAGTAAGTATCAGCGATCTATAAATGTAAGTTTACATTGGCCTCTCCTCTCCAAGAGTCAAAAAGAATTTCTTTTATGGACACACCTGGGTGATCATCAAAGAGGAACCAGACCCGAAAAGCTGCTTACCAGAAAGAACCTTTCTTTCGATTAAACAAATGGTTTTATTCCCACTGTGGACCACCGTATAGTTACTTTCCATGGTGGGAATGTAGAGAAAACTAAGCAAAGTCTTGATCTTTTGCTCATGGGCCATCTAACTTCGGCGCTGGAGATTTTTCATATCTTTATATCTGTTAGTTATTACAATTCTTTTCACATTAAGTATCTAAAAATAAGTTTAAAATTGAACTTACGTACTACATTTATTCATTTGCATATGCTTTTAGTGTGTACAATAATCATGGCGTAAATATAATCATGTCATTATCGATACATTATTTAATAATCATAGCTTCTCTAGTCTCTCTACCTGAACTCTATCAACCAACTGTTTCAGCATCCATCCCTTTATATATATAAACCCCTCACTCTCCTCAACTCTGTTCTCATAAACTGCTCTCTTTCTCTTTAGATATGTCGGCTTCAGGAACAAAACTGTGCAATGCGAACACTAGACCAGTAACTTCATGTGGTAAGCAATCCTCAGTCAAGGGATCGTATGGTAAGAATCCTGGATGCACAACGACCTGTGGCTTGAGGCTACCGAGGAAAACAGAAGCCACAGCAGCAAGACTAGTCAAGCTTCTCAGCTGTAAACTCGTTAAAGGGTTACGTCTAGTGGTGAAGAGGAGGAAGAAAAAGAATATATCGCCACCATTGAAGACTTCTTCCACCAGTAGATCTCAGCCTTCGGTAATCTCTGTGGCTAATGATACATGTAGATCAGAGGCTATAGAAGACTGCATTCAGTTCATAAACTCCTCCACCTCTTTCACAAGATCAAGTTCTGTCAGTGGCCGTACATCTTAAGATTTTCAGTCATACCCATAAATTTTCAAGATTCTCTTATTTTGGTCACTCGTTGGACGACGCAACAGCATATTAGAGAGCTGAATGTAACATCTCTATAATATACTAGTATATATAGAGCAAAAGAGATGTATTCAAAAAAAAAAAAAATATAGAGCAAAAGAGAGATGTATTTAAGTGATCTTGAGAAATGTTAGGAATTCTCGATCGTTTGATTGCTTAACTAAGTAACACATAGAATTTGATCACCGAGTTCCCGGCCTCTAGCGCGGTACGTCTCGGGTGGGAACCGTCTCCCACAACATCCACTATCAATCAAAGGGGTTTACACAAATGCTCTAAGCGTTCTCCTCGTATAACACATGACACCATACAAAGAACACAACATAGAATAAGAAAGATCAAAGAAACTCTCTCCCGCAAAGATATGACTCGAACGATGTCTTTCTTAGTTTCTTCTCTACCCCGATCTCTCTTTAGCTTTCTCTTGTTCTTGTGTCTTCGGATCCTCTCGTCTTTAGGATAATCTTTAGGTTGTATAGGCCTCTCTTTTTATAGCCGAGATCACCGCCTAAGTCTCTCATTATTATGCTAATTTTCTGTTTTTCATTAGACTTACTAATCCTTCCTATTTCCTTGCAGAATTAGGAAATACGACATACATCTCTTACTGGACTTCTTGTGTGGGCCTGGAACTGGGCCTATTCTCCATCAATCTCCACCTTAGGCCCAATTCCATAAACATCATCTTCTAGCTTTGTTACTGACAACAAAGCATTCCTTTCCTCTCTCCACCGTGAAACTGATACGACGGCGAGACCTCCACATATACTTCCAACAATGGTGTTTCCAGTTACTGCTTGGCCATCTTCTCCTCATGAAAATCACCGGAGTTCGCGAACCTCTGTGTTTCAATCGGATGAGAAGATTTGTTGATTGTAAACTCCACCTCCATAGCCAAGTCAATCTTATCCATTGTGCCTTCAATTTCCAGTGTCATCGGTCTCTTCTTCGTGACGGTCTTATCTTGCTTTGTTTCGATAGTGAAGATATGAAGATTTCGATTCTGACCAGAATCCATGATTATCCTGCCAATCCCTTATCACCATTACCTCTGAAACAAAACTCCAGCAGCCTTGAACTCGAGATTTCCAGAGAATCCATGATTGCACCTTTTCTTCTATACTGCACTTCCTAAATCAGAGTACGCCCACTTTGATTCTAATTTATGCAGCATCCCTGCTTCAGGCATAGTTCCTCCTTTGACTTTTCCCGTATCAAGCTCACCGTTGATACCACCAGTACTTTAAGGACGAATCCTTCTTACCAGGCTGAAACCATGCTCCACCTGCTTCATATTCAGGTTCAACAAGTAATCTTCTAAACGCCCCTTTTATTTTGTTTAGAACTGATTCCCTTCTTATCACTTAAACAAGAAACTAAATTGTCCTTTGTTTCTTGTATTTGATGACCTGATGCCAAAGAGATCCCGTGTTGTATTCTTGCTGGTGTCTTTCTGATCATGAGGCTTCAAACTTCCATTGGTACACCACAGGTAAACACTTCTAAACTTAGTTTCAGCTTCAGTTTAGATACTCAAATCTTCACAACACAATAACTTAGAACACCGGCTGAAACTCAATGCTCTTTTATTGTTTTGCAAGATTTTAACTCTCCTGTTACCAACTTCAAACCTCTGAAATGTCACCAACCCTTTATGGAACTCAGGTAACCTCCTAAGAACCTCGACCCTTGATCTTGATAATGATCCGGTGTTCAACCTCCAACACCATTTTCTGAAATTTTTAGATAACCATTGAAACCTTGACGTCTTTGTTTCGAACTTTCTGAAATTTCTTGTGAAATCATAAAACATTAACTTGTGTTTTTCTCTGTAACAGCTTCTCCGAAGATCTCATTCCTCTTATCCGCTATTCTCATGATTTCAGGTTACTCTCTAAAACCTTACACCTTGTCGAAATCAATAATCCCCCAACTGATTTCAAGATATCCATTACCACCATCAAGCAGCCACTCTCTTCTGAAAGCTTTCTCTTTAATCTTGTTGCAACAAAATAATGCTTGAACCTGTAGACATCTTTACCGTTCTCTAGGACCCATGTCGTCTTAACACTCCTACTCACTTTGAATCATACCCTAGCAATGACAAATTCTTCCTTAAACTCACACCCTATGAGCTGATTAACCTTTAACTCAGATCCTGCCTTTACACCTAACGAAAACTGAGATATCCTTCTAACTTTGTAGCTCCACCTGGAATCCCAACGTTCTGCCTCGAACCTGCATTACAATCTTGTAATAGCAATGACTCCACCTGGAACTTGGATCCTTCAAAGTTTATTACCTATTTATCTCTCTGAGTTAACAACCTTTTTCCACCTTGCTTCTCTTGATTCACACTCGCTGAGCAATACCTTTTAACTGTGTCAGGCTTTTGACACATGTTATTAACTTTCTTGTAGCTACATCCACCAATTCTTAATGCCAGACGACGTCCAAGAACCCTTTGCTTCTCGTGAAGCAATCTGAATTTTTCAATTCAGTTTACTACTTTGCTAGACCAATTTTTTTTTCTCTCTTCCTTGACTCTTTCACATGAGCCGTAAAACCAGAAATCCCTTGATTGTTTCTTGGTTTATAAGAAACTGATTCCCTTACCAGTTTTGTCCATATGAGTTCATCATTCTTAAGTCACTTGCAGAAACCAATCCCGAGAGTACCACTTGTAACTCTAACCTGAGCTAACACCTTGGTTGATATCACCTTCTTTGATGTCAAAAACCTGCAACTCTCTATGTTTCATCACCTTTTTCTTTCTCTTTGGAGTCTTCCTCATGTTCTGATCCCTTGATTGAATCACCATCAATCTTCACCTCAATGTACCATAGATCACATACCTTGATCCTTTCCTCCAGCAAAGAGAACATGTACACCATCTTGTACCGCTGTTTAGACTCAAACAGAACACGCCGGCTAACCATCTTGTTAGAAAGACTTTCGATACAATTTTCCAACATGGTCAATTGCTAGATTACATCGAGAATTTCTCCACAGAACATGCAGTCTCCTATGTCCATTCATTTATTGTAATGCTATCATAAGCTTCTTTGATGCACGACAAAACTGAATTTGTGTAAGAAACCCTTTGAAACATAACTTCCGTTTCCACACCTCGTGACTTTGATGATACTCCCAAATTTTAACCCATGAAGACTTTCTCATACCTTGTGATTGCAGCGGAAACCACTTTCAAAGTCTTCAAACACCTTGTACTTCTTTAAACATGTCATGTTTCCTTTTGATCTTCCTTCCTTGCTAAAACTATAACATCATCTCCGCCTTGATCCAAATCCAATAAGAAGATACCAACGACCTATTTGGACTGATCAGCCTTGAACACTCTTCAATACCGCCATTAAAATTAATGGAACCCGCTGCCTAACTTTCAACTTTGTTAAGAAGACTTTCGATATCAACCTTGTTCAGCTCCCTTGAGATGAGTGTTATTGCACCCTTGGAGACAATGAATTCACACTTTCCTTGAAGAACAAATAAATACTTTTATCTTTCTTCTTTGCGACTCTTCGATCTCCCTTACACCCGCAATCATATCCTGGATTGCTCTGATACCACTTGTTAGGAATTCTCGATCGTTTGATTGCTTAACTAAGTAACACATAGAATTTGATCACCGAGTTCCCGGCCTCTAGCGCGGTACGTCTCGGGTGGGAACCGTCTCCCACAACATCCACTATCAATCAAAGGGGTTTACACAAATGCTCTAAGCGTTCTCCTCGTATAACACATGACACCATACAAAGAACACAACATAGAATAAGAAAGATCAAAGAAACTCTCTCCCGCAAAGACATGACTCGAACGATGTCTTGCTTAGTTTCTTCTCTACCCCGATCTCTCTTTAGCTTTCTCTTGTTCTTGTGTCTTCGGATCCTCTCGTCTTTAGGATAATCTTTAGGTTGTATAGGCCTCTCTTTTTATAGCCGAGATCACCGCCTAAGTCTCTCATTATTATGCTAATTTTCTGTTTTTCATTAGACTTACTAATCCTTCCTATTTCCTTGCAGAATTAGGAAATACGACATACATCTCTTACTGGACTTCTTGTGTGGGCCTGGAACTGGGCCTATTCTCCATCAAGAAACATGAAAACTAGAAAGTGTGAGCTTCGTTTATGTACAAAACAAAACCATATGTATATCTTTCATCAGTCCTATGCGTTTGGCCTAAGACAAGCATAATTTCGGGTAAAAAGGGAATATTCCGGCAAGCTCTCAGGCTGCAAAGACATATTCACTGATAAACCACTATTCTCGCAATGGACCAGTCGGTAATTTTCTCTCCGGTTGAAATTAGGTTCCAACAATGTAAAGACCAACCAAGATCGTGAAAACGTTATCCCATGACCCTGAGGGACTACATGTCATTGTTAGAGCTTAAAAAGATTTAGGAAAGCATTGTAAGAAATCAAGAATTGTCTAGAGTCCTAACAATGTTGTAAGATGTGACCAATTGCGTATGTGCCCAAGAACTCCAGCATTATTAGACAGACCAAGTAACTCCCTGACCACAACAACAACGTACTAATACTTTTGTTTTGAGTAGCATGATTGGTTTCGGCTTAAAAGGCTAATTGCCTACATTTACAGAGTATATTGGAGCAATGCCTTGATCGTAAGACCAGACTGCGAGAACGCATCAGTCTTTTGGCTACGAAGCCATGCACAAAACGGCCATTGCTGGAGAAACTATGTGTTTCAAGCTGTGTTAGCAAAAACGCTGGTACATATTAACCCAAGTGTTTGCACTATCTTTTCATTATAGAAAAGATAAAAACGATTATCGAATGAATACTTTTTCTAAATTGCATTGAAATATTCCTTTTTCATCACAAGTAGAATAAAAAACAAAAAATATTCCTTTTTCATGAATATTGGTCGAGTGAAGAGGCGAGAAGTCTC